TGAGCAGTTTGTTCAAGTCTTTTTTCTGTCATAATGAGGTTAGGTATGGATTCCTCAATGTGTTTTGTTGTTTCTGGTATTGTTGTGGATTTGTCTATTGTGAAGACAGATTTAAATTGTTGTATAAATATTTCGGCTTTTCCTTTACTGTCGCTGTTGAGTTTGCCTTTGTTCTGTAATGGGGACACTCCAATGTTGTCATTTTTCCTGAATTTTATATATTTCCAGAAAGGTTTGGTATTATTTGTTTCTAAACTTTTTAGTGATATAATGATATATGTCCATTTAGCTTTCTTAATCAATCTCATGATTTCTTTTTGGAAGTGTCTATAGTTCGCCCAGTTTTTTGTGCTTTTTGCTTGTTGGTATAGTCTGCTTTTCTTTTTTGAATAGCTTCCTTATTTTGTGTGTTATCCAATGGACACTGTTTTGAGCGGATTTCTGTGGATGGTATGTGCTTGTCCATACTTTGGAATAATTCTTTTTTAAATTGTGTCACTCATTTCTCTGACGTTTTAAACTTGCTTGTGTATCTGTTTTATCAATGATGATGTTTTGGTGACATCTCCATTTAAAGTTTCTCCCAATTTGCCTTTGAATAGATATAGACTTTCTTGGTTTACTGCGTTGATAGTATGGCTTAGTGTCACAGTCTGTGGGCCGAAAATAAAATTTAAATTGTTTTATGTTGCCTACCTTCCCACCAAAAAAGCAGCCTACTCTAAAACATTTATGACAAAAATCGTTTCAAATTTTTTTTTTTTAAAGATTTTTCCTGTTCTAACGTCTAAAACATGCAAGTTATGTTGTTGGCCAAAAAAATAATAAAATCCCAACCTACCTACCCAACCCTACAAGACATGGGTAGGCAACTGCAAACAAGGAACTTTTAGGGTGGCCTTATTACCATTTCTTGGTTTGATATGCCTGATGAATGCATTTCTGATGATTTTACTGGAGATGGATTTGTAGTTAATACTATATTAAGGCGATTGTTCTCTCTTGTTAGCAGTTCGTGGATTGGGGTAGGGTGAAATGATCTTGTTAGGTCCATGAGTTTGGTTTGGATTTCTTTATCATTTGCGTTTGAGTTTACAGTCGTTGTTTCCCAGTTTATTTCTGAACAGTAAAAATCTGTCAACATGATGTTTGTGTTTTTGGATGTTTCCATGTTTAAATGATTTTTCCAATTCCACCACGCATTTCATGTTTCGTTGGGCATGTAAAAAGAGCCGATTAGTAATTCGTGTTTGCCTTTTATCTGTATCTTAACCCAGTCAATTTGTGTCTAATTCTGATTGTTCCACTGTTATGATGTCGTTATCGACTAGCATAAAGACTCCGCCTCCCAGTATTCCCCTGTCATTTCTGTATGCTGTGTAACCCTATGGGAAGACTTCGCTTGATTTGAATGCGGCCTTGGTGGGATTTTCCCTAGTTTTTATCTCCTTTTACTATGATTCTTTTCCCCAAATTATGTCAGGTTTGATGTAGATTACTGCTGCTTTGAACTCTGATATTTTATCTTTTAGGTTCTGCAGTTAATGTTGCTACTATGTACTAGTATTCTACTCTTTATCTTTTGAGTTTTGACTAATTATTGGTTGTGCTATGATTTTTGGGCTTCTGGTCTTCAACGGGTTAAATAGGTTTGATGATATTGATTCAAGTGTGATGTTATGTGATAATGTTTCATAATAATTTGAAGTGTTTAGTTCATAGTTGTGAAATGTAAAGGATGATGCATTTATACTGTCATATTTAAAGCACAGCCATTGGACATTTTATCTTTCTAGTTCATAGTCTTCTGTGCACAATTCAATGCATGATCTGTGATGCCATATGTCATAATCGTCACAGCATACGCCCTCGCATTACCATGTTACAGGATGGTCACATAGTACAAAAGGGTATATTTTGTTGTTTTCCTCTAGGATCTGGATTTTGTTCGATGTGCCCTCCTAAAAGTATTAGTATTGCAAGTAGTTGTTTTGCATTCGCCTCTAGCGGTAGTGTAAGTGGTCGTCTACCCGCAATTATTTCCAATGCTGTAAAGGAAGCTTACTATCAGTATTGTAGTTACTAAATTCAAATTAATTTCTGATTTGGTATCTGCTGTTTTTGGTTTGTTTGTGTTACAGTCATGGTTTATCGCGACAGTTTAATTTAACTAATAATCTAACTGAGTTTTGTTTAAATCTAACCCATGTAACTATCACGTCTTTTAAGTTCTCTGATTTGCTTGTCTTGATGCATGTGTTCACAGTCTTGGTTTAGCGCGGAAGTGCCCGCACTGACCTAGAACTGCAAACACTACCAACAAACTGGTTGAGTCTGATCGGAAATATTTTTGAGCCAGGTGCGTGCTAGAAGGTTGTCTGGATGTATTCCATCTACATATAAATCAAATGTAGTGGTTTCTTTCTGTTACTTTTCGATGAGCTCCTTCTTTTTTGTACTTGGATTTGACTTGTAGGTCGTTCGAAAATTTTGGCGTATGACTGTTGATTTCTGTCTATTTCTTTCACTTTGTTGTTTAATTCTAAACTTGTTCTGCCAGTTCTTGACTTTGACTTTGAAGTCGTCTGGCGTTTTATGATTTTTGCCTTTATTCCAACGTTGTATTGAATATGCTGGAGTTTCTGGTATGGTTATCCTAGTCTGAAAATATAGTTGCCTACATCAACGTACATCGGACTATGTGGATAGTTGTCTCATCGTCAATCAAAAAGTAAAATCACAAAAATACTGAACTCCGAGGAAAATTCAAAAAGAAAAGTCCCCAATCAAATGGCTAAATCAAAAGTTCAAACACATCAAACGAATGGATAACAACTGTCATATTCTTGACTTGGTACAGGCATTTTCTTAAGTAGAAAATGGTGGATTGAACCTGGTTTTATAGCTTGCTAAACCTCTCACTTGTATGACAGTCGCATCAAATTCCAAACCACATCGACTTTTTTTATATAATAATGTTAGATACTTAAAGTACACATACGGAGCTGTTATACTGTAAGTCAAGTTAAGATTAAAACTTTTAGATTTGTCCTGGTGTGAAATAGGTTCACTAGAAATAGGTTCTACCTCTTTCAAAAACAATATCTTACTTAACACAATTTTGAAGTTTAAAACTTACAGAGACATAAAAAGACAATGTATTTAACAATGTAAATACCACATGAACATTCCGCCATATAAGATTGTTTGATGATAATATTGATGGGCCATATCCAAGAGATAAAAAGATAAATGTTTTACTAAAACTTTTGCTTTTCAGTCAGTCAAAAGTTATTTTGAAAAATTGAGAGTTTATAAATAAACCAAAGACAGGAAATTCCAAATGATGCTTCGTGATTTGACAGTCTCACTTATGCCGTGCTTATCACGCTTACTGTAATACTACATATGTGATTCATCGACCAGTAGTACATCAACGTGGTTAACAGGCTGCCCAGCTGATCTACATGACCCTTAAAGGAGTAATTGTGCAGTGCAGTGATGTTAATAAATATCAACAAAGTAATGAAACCAAACAACAGGCCTTCTATCTAACCAACTTTGATAGCGAAATCTAAAACAATCAAAGCTCAACAAATGCCCTCAAGGCAACGGGCCGACTGTGCGAGGGCTATATAGCCAGTCAAGGTCGTTAAACACCCATCATCATCACTACCGGTAAACAATGTATGATTTTTTTTATAAATCACCAAAATCAAAAGGCATAGTGTCTTTATTCTTTATAAAACCTAACATTGTATGAATATTTCATTAGGATTTGAGAAAGCATAATTGAGAAGACTTGTTGAACAGACGAAGGCCTAGTTTTTGAAAACTAAAGTTCCGAAACTCTACAGCTAGTCTGAAAATCATAAAATTATTGAGGTATGTAGTCTTTATTGGTCTTACATTGTGTAAAAATCGGTTGGATTTAATGTCGCAAATATCAATATTTAAGGTCATAAATTGACGTTTGTTGTGACAAACTGAAAATGGTATACTCGAGCTAATACTCCATTTAAAAAAACATAAACACGTTATAAATTTCATGTGTCCAAAGCACTTTTCTGGATCTACCTTCATCAGGAATGCTCAAAGCCGAATATTACTCCATTTCAATACTTCAGTTCCCTGATAGTCTGTTTTACCGTGTCCGATTTCTATTTACACATAAACGATATCGTCAGAAATCTATGCAGAGTTGGGATCAGTACAACATGGTCTGCATGAAACATCAACATATGGACAACGACACCTCACGTGATATGACTTTTTCAATCTCCACATTGAAACAACAACTATCCCGGAACTCTCCTATTGTTGTATAAATATGACAAAATGCTGTGTATTTTTAGTAAATTTCTATGTGTGGGAAATATTGAGTGCATACAAATTTTCAGTATTTATTCATAATAGGTATAGTTGTCCCTTAGAAAACCTCTATAGTTAATCATTAAGTAAAATCTTCCTTTGAATCTATTTGTGAGCCCAAAATCTTTCTGAATATCAAAGAAAGGCTTAGTATTTCCACAATAAGATTTAAAAGTATCTACTACTTGTTTTTACTTTTGTATTATCACGTTTCTCTGAACTGTAATAGATATATTGGGGGATATGAATGGAACTCTTAAATCAAAAGTATTACTTTTAAAGAAAAATGAGGAGACTACACTATTGCATTTTAAGCTAGGCCTACAAAAAATATAGCTTTTACCACAGCAAATTGAGGTTACTTTGCAGAGCTTGATAAAGTGATATTTGCGACATTAAAACCAAGTCTTACATAAGCCAAGCTTCAATCTGTTTTTAAGCAAACTAAACAAATCATTCCATTTTATCTATTATTTCAATGTCAAAATTTCATAAATCTACAAAACATTGTTCATTTCTTTGGCAGCTTAACAGTTTTAATAATAGGTACTCAATGTTAAGGGTAAACACCAGGTGATTCAGACTCTGTGCACACTTCACAATGGAATAACATTTGACAGACAAAACAGTTAAGGTGAAAAATGTGTTTTTATTTGGTTTATTATGTAAGAAATCACATACAACATGCATTAAATAATTTCTAACATTTAAAATGACAGCTTCCCTAATTTAATACAGACAGGTAGATTGATATTCATTTACTAGTTATCTAATATGATCCATCAATATAAAATAATTACATTAACATAGCTGTAAACACATCCTGTCCTTTAAGTGTGGGGTTGGGGGTTGTCTTTTGCTATACTGCTTACATTCTGACTGTGTCTGCTAGTATGTATTGATTTTTTGTAATGTATTTTTCGGTCCTGGAATGTTTTGTTCAGCAAGACCTTTTATATTTCAGGACTAAGTATTAAAAACAATATCCCACAAAACTCTTTTAACCAAGAAGTAAACATATCTCTGACAGAATCTTTCAGCTTTTTGGAATGTGTCAAGGACCCTTTATTGATCATAACCTCATACATATGATCATATATTATTCCAATTCTTAGACAGATGAATGCAAAAGAATATACTGTTAATGCTGTGCTGGAGTCTAACTATTAAATGTTAGATTATGTAAATTTAGATTCTACTACAGTTGTATACAGAAGTCAACAGGGTTAAATGGTAGAGTCTGTTTTTTCTAATAAGTACCTGTAATTAATGAATGATCCCAATTGATGAGGCAGGAATTTAAAAGATAACCAATCTAATAAACATGTGGTTTATCCAAATTTATAGAACTGGTCAGAACCAGTATAAATGCCGATAGAATAAGAGATTTGACATGTCCACATTATATTTTTATTTGTGGTTTCAGTGGTCCACAGTATCACTATCATATGTGTGGATTTCTTTTGTCCACAGTAACTCTATCATTTGTGTGGATTTCTGTCATCCACATCATTTCTGTTATATTTGTGGATTTCAGTCGTCCACAGTATTTCAATCATATGTACTGTTTTCTGTTATCAACAGTGTCTCTATCATATAGGTTGATTTCTTTCATCCACAGTATGTCTATCATATGTGTGGATTTTAGTGGTCCACAGTATCTCTATTATATGTCGATTTCTGTCATCCACCTTATCTCTGTCATATTTGTGGATTTCAGTGGCCCACAATATCTCTATCATATGTGTGGATTTCTCTCCTTTCCTTCATAGATATATTACACTCTTCCTCTGTATTTCAATCAAATCTGAATATATTAAACATACATCCGACTATGTATGTAATTACCAACTTCCAAAACATTCTTTCTGTATCATATCTAACTATTTTACTGCCATTCGCCAATAATTTAGTGCAGATAACAATAACTAGGGCCCTCTATTTAGCATTTTTGTATATTTTTCCACCATTGATTCTGTTAGAGATGGTTCCACTGTAAGTAAAGCTTGTCTGAAATGTTCCATTGATACACTGGTGGATTCCAGACTATCTGTCAGTGCATGTAGAGCAGCCTACAGAGAAAACAATTCTAATTAGTGAAGCAAAGACCAAAACTTACATAAATCACTCATCATATCAATTCTGTATGTGATGAGTGTTTGTCAGTCAATTGCTGTGATGAACAATGGTTTACATTTGGACATTTTGGTGTCCGCTAATCTAAACAAGTGTGCAAACTGAAATGTCTTGCCTGCTTTACTGCTCACGATTGACTTTATGTTGAAAGTCTTTATTATAAAGGTTTTACTATAACTATCACATAAACTTGTCCTTATCAATTATCTGTGTAAATGAGGTCAAGGTGAAATGAACCCTGCCAGACTGATATGAACACCTTACAAACATTCCATATACCAAATAAAAGTTAACTTATTGCTTATTGAAACAGACTTAACATTGACTAATGAGCCATGAAAGATAGAATTGTACACCTTAAAATCCAATACCTACCTCTCTACATAAGTTTTGTAAGTCAGCACCTGAGAACAAATTTGTGTTCTTTGACAAATCTTCTAAGCTCACATTTTTCAGTGGCATTTTCTTTGTGTAAACTTTTAATATCTCAAATCGAGCCTAAAAATAAAAAGCATACAAATTTTAGCATATTCTTATCATATCACTGAAAAAATGTCTGAGCTATTTAATAATCTAACAAGATTATCTCCCTTTTATCATTCGCTTGAGAAATAAATTTTTGCTTGGGAATAAGTTACAAGTCCCAATTGTGTAAATAGACTATGTAATTTCCCAGAATAACTGACTTTATTCTAAATAAAGATTACCAATTTAACACTAGATCTTTGAACATTGTCTTAATAGGTACATGTACCAACATTGATTTTATTTTCAACAGTTTAATGCATATCAACTAAATATTTATTGCTATCCAGTATTTGACATTTACAAATTCATATTTTTCTCAGACTGATTATAATGTCTTTTGATAGAAATTCTAGTTGGGGAAAACATGGTCTATCTTTCATGTCTATTAGTTAAATTGAACTTTAAAATAGCTTTCAGTAACTTTTGTGTCTTTTGTGCTGAGTGAAGATCAGATGAGTCAAGCACTTTCTAACAGGTTTTTACAGTTCATTCTAATGTTGTGCTGTTACACCAATGTGCTGGGTTAGGGAGAGAGTTAAGCCCTTAAAATCATGTTTAAACCTGCCACATTCTTTATGTGCCTGTTTCAAGCCAGCAGCCTGTAATTCCAGCGGTTGTCATGGGTTGCTCTCTGTCATAACTGTTTTTTCTATTTAATGTCATCAGCTTATATCCGACTTGGTTTTCTCTGTTGTATTGTACCCCATTTTGTTATCTTAGGCTTATTAAATCGTTCTATATGGATTGGGTTTTGCTCATTGTTTAAGGTTGTATCCTGACCTGTACTTGTTTACATCATCATCCTTTCAATTTTTTATGGATAGTTGTCTCACTGGCAGTTGTACCACATGTCCTTATTTTTATATTGATGTTTCTATGAAATATGAGGTTTAACTGTAAAAATGTGAATATTAGCTATTTCATATAATGGCTTAAATGTAAGAAATATAATTTCAGTAGCACATAAGTCTAATTTTTATTTGGTAAATTTTTTTGGAAAGCTTCCATTTCCTTTCTACCAGATAAAGATAAATTCATTATTCTATTAGTACAAACTTGACCAATGTGTGCTACGTAAGATTTGAACAATAAGATTAAATTATTTTCACTCATTATTAAATTACGGCATATAAAGTGACAAAGATTGACTAAAGGATCATGAAGAAGATGTGGATGATTACCAAACCTTGTACATGTAATTACCTCTTCATCAGGTGGAGGTACATAAAGTATTCTGTCAATTCTACCTGGACGAACCAATGCATCATCCAAGAGATCTGGACGATTGGTTGCTGCTACCAACAGAACATTTCTGTTTTCTGTTTTATAGGATTTTCCTTCCTGTAATGTTAATTAAATAAGTAATTAAACCAGGTTTTAACAAGTTGTTGCAGAATTTATAAAGTCTGAAAAGTATTAGAGAAATATAAGAGTTGACACACAAAGTTAATGTACCCTAAAATACTTGCAAAAGCACTAACATATACCCATTTCAACATTGAAGAATTTAATCATTATTTTTGAAAACCAATTTTACTGGCTACATAATTTTTTTGTCTCATATATATACACCTTAGCAATTAAAACATTTCCAGCTTGATAGTAATTACTAATGTTGAAGAAGTTAAGTGAACTATTGACCTCACTTTGAATTGAATTATTCTGTTCGTCATGAACTCAATTTTGCTAGTCTTACATTAATTTGATTTCCATTTAAGAACCTTATCGTTCATTGTTGCTTGATATACTTCATTCTTTTTTCCAATCCTGTTTCATTTATGATGTGGATTATTGGTGGATTATAGCCATACCTTTTCTGATCATGTTGCTTTTATAGAAAATGGATGTATTGACATGAATCCAAATAAGATGACAGGAAGAACACTGTGAAATTATTTTCTATTCCAAACTATTTTCACCAAATAGTCAAAACTAAATAATGGAAAATAAGTATAACAAACTACCTATACTGTTTTATATTATCTTTATGAAACAGAATCATACAGGTTAATTTAATCTGGTAGTTGTAGAAGTGACAAACAAAATCAATGTTTGGTATTGTAGATACTCACCACTGATTTACTGCTAGTTATATCACCCTCTTTAACTCTCTCTGATGTGTGAAGTTTATCGTCCAGTTTTATCCCTATACCATCCATTTCATTCAGTAAAGAGGAGAGAACTCTTTCTTGTACTCCTCTGTTAGATGAACTCTCAGATCTTTTACCAACAATAGAATCAATTTCATCTAAAAATATTATAGATGGAGCTGCTGCTCTGGCTTTCTGGAAAACCTGAAAAAAAAAACCCAAGAATGGACATATTGTCATGCTGAGCAAATCCTAAGCTGCACTGACCACAAGATGGTTTATCTTAACAGTGTGACGGCTGCTATCCACATCAATCAATAGATTACCAGCAGTGTGTATGACACCTCTGTCAATTTATTTAGACAACTGTATGTAATTATTAATTGCCATCAATAAGACATGCAATTAAATCATGAGTTATTCCCCTTTGGACATTGATATCTGGAGATTCAAGTCATACTAAACAAATACAACTTCATTTGCTGATAAAGAAAATTAAGATTATTTTAAAGCATCTCAATAAACATAGGCAGTCAAAATAGTATTTGTAAGTTTACACAACAATCTGTGGCATCTTCTTTGTATGCTGCTAGGTTTATGGGAAACTTTTGTTAGAACTGTTTGGTTTGCAGAGCAGATTGGTAACATCTCATTTCCATTAATTTTTCAAATGAGGATTTCATCCATAAAGTTATTTTTTGGGGATCTTGTTATCAAAGTAATATTGCTGTTATTTTTTTTTTCTATTTTCAGTCTGTTTATTAAAGTTTTCAAGATCATCAGAACATATGCTAAAACTGTTAAAAAGGTTAAAGGCAATGACTCCTATTGGTTTCAGTCACCATTATTGTGACAATGGTAGGAAAATTGTAGATCTTGTATTGCTGACCATTTTTTATGTCAACAGTTTCTGTCTATCTTATTCTGGCCTCTTTTTCCTAAACGGTTTGGGCCATAACTCCCAAAACCAATCACAACCTTCCTTTTGAGGTATGACACCTTGTGATACAATATTATAGAGATCCATACATTTGTACACACGTTAATAGTTTTCAAGGTAAAATTTTTGCTAAACCTAGTGAAAAATCATCATTTAATGGTAATAACTCATATAAGTAATCAATTGATTGCACAAGTCATGTTGGCATGTTTGAAGATGTTTTATTGTTGTGTACAGTTTATGTCTATCTATTATTTGCTCCTTAGTTCGGTTTTATGAAGGTCTTGCAGTTTAATTTTTCCGCCTGAATTATAAATTGGATAACAGGAAGTAGGTAAATGACAGATCCAGAAAATGCCCACACGTTACAACTCATCGCTAATTAACTGCTGACTAAATATGAAGTCATTTTGTACAGCAGTACTTGAGAAAAGTGCTACAACAATTTAGGTTCATTGAACATATAGAAAATTTCAAGGTATTGGCAAACAGGAAGTGAATGTCCCACAAATCCAAAAAATGCTCACACATTACAACTTGTCACTGTGAGAATGCTGACCAAGCATGAAGACTTCCTGTTCAGTAGTAATTGAGAAAAGTGTGATTTTTTTTATAATTCAACAGATCAGCAAACAGGAAGTAGGTGTTTGGCAGATCCAAAAAGTACTCACACATTACAACTCATCACTTTCAAGCTACAAGACTAGGTATGAAGTCTTTCTATTGATTACTGTTTGAGAAAAGTGTGACAAAAATGGTTAAGTTCGTTTAATATATCAAAAAATTCAAAGTATCTGCATACAGGAAGTAGGTGTCCGACAGATCTGAAAACTGCTCACGCGATACAACTCATCACTGTCAAGCTACTGACCAAGTTTGAAGTCTTTCTGTTCTGTACTACTTGAGAAAGTCTGATGAAAATTGTTAAGTTCATTTAACATTTTAAAAATTTCAAAATATTAGCATACAGGAAGTAGGTGTCCGACATATCAGAAAAATGCCTACACTATACAACTGCCAAACTGCTGACCAAACATAAAGTAATTTTGTCAAGTAGTACCTGTAGTAATGACTGTGAGGAAAATATATTTGTAGGACAAAGGACAAGGTGAATGAAATAAAGCCCTCACTTATAGAGTAGGGATATAATATCACATAATTTGTCAGTTACCAATGCAAGCAATTTTACTAGTCTGGTATACTTCTACATTATTACCTCACTTATCAAACGTTCAGAATCACCAATATATGGTGAGTATAACTGGGCACCACTCAGTGATATAAATGTGGCATTGACTGACGTAGCTGCTGCTCTCACTAATGTAGTCTTACAACAACCAGGGGGTCCATACAATAAAACACCTTTAGGACATGGTAATCCCATTCTATGGAAAGCTTCTGGGTGTTTTATTGGCCATTCTACTGCCTGAAATGAAAACACATATTAGTAACCATGGTAGCAGTTCTGATATAACCAAAATAATTCTTTGAAAAGCATTAAAATGTCCTTCCAAAAAGCTTCTAATTCAATGGCAATTTTAGATACATCTTATGAATAGAATGAAGCAAGTGATATATCATATCAACCCCAAGCAAATAATAACACCAAAAGTAACAGTATACAGACTACATGTCCAACTCTTATTTGCCATGAGTATAGATAAGCTGGGAATAAATTTATCACAGTTTATACAAATATCAGTCATCAACTTCAATTCTCAACCTGCAAAAAAACTACTAAAACTTAAACAGGTTAAGACAATCTTATTAACATGGGTCAATTTAAAAAAATTTAAAACACTGTCGAGTCTACCCATACATGTAAATTTTACATTACAAATGTTTTATTTAAAGCATTTGTTTATAGAAACTTACTTTTTAAGTATTGAAAGGGATAAACATGGGACTTGATTAATAGTTATGTAGATCTAATTCTAGCATTGAATTGTCTCCCATTGTATATATATTTTAGAAATGAGTAAGAAAATACTTTTGATATCATCACACAGCTTGTACTTAATTTTATTCCATTACTTCCTTAAGCATCAAATACTGATAAAAAAAATGCTAAGCTGGGTGCATTTACCTTTTACGGTCCAATATCCAAAATCTAAAATACATGGTTAAGATTCAGCATATCAAAGAGTCCCTTGAATTAAATTTTTATTAAAATCTAACAAAGTTTAATTTTGGACTCTTTGGACCTTTATGACTGGACCGATTTGAAAATCGGTTCATTATTTTTCAATAATATCTAATAATGAAAGTAAATTTTCAAAATATCATTCCTCATTAATACAATGTCTTTAAAAAATCTATAAAACTTACCTGTAATTATTTTTCAAAATGTCTAATAATGAACAGTAGATTTCCAACTATATCTATACATAATTTCTTCTCTTAAAATTAGACTTAATGCAATATTTATTTTTGATTATGACTCTACTTACAATTTCTATTTGTTGTGCAATACAGCTCTGAATTTGAATTGTGATTAAATATTTGACATAGCATAGCTACTGACACAGAATGAATGTGGTCTTAAGAAATTAAAAAATTGAAATTGGACATTTACCTATTATGGTCCAATATCCAAAATCTAAATACATGGTTAGATTCTGCATATGAAAGAACCCCAAGAATTCATTTTTTGATGAAATCAAACAAAGTTTAATTTTGGACCCTTTGAACCTCAATGTGGACCAATTTGATAACTGGGCTCAAAATCCAAAATCTATATACACGGTTAGACTCAGCATATCAAAGAACCCCATATATTTAATTTATGTTGAAATCAAATAGAAAAAGTTTAATTTTGGACCCGGATTTGGACCAACTTGAAAACTGGGCCCAAAATTTAAAAACTTACTACATGTTTAGATTAAGCATATATCAAAAAAACCCTCAAATTCAATTTTTGTTAAAATCAAACTAAGTTTAATTTTGGACCCTTTGGACCTAAATTTGAACCAATCAGAAAACTGGGCTTGAAATCAAAAATCTAAATACACACTTAGATTTGGCATATCAAAGAACCCCAATTATTCAATTTTTGATGAAATCAAACAAAGTTTAATTTTGTACCCTTTAGACCTCAATGTGGACCAATTTAATAACGAGGCCTAATATCCAAAATCCAAATACACAGTTAGATTTAGCATATTAAAGAACCCCACAAATTCAAGACTGAATTAAACTACAGTGAAATTTACAAAGAAATAAGAAATTTATACAAAGTATTAGAATAGTATTGTTTTGGCCTCTTTTTCCTGAACGGTTTGGACCATAACTCCCAAAATCAATCACAACCTTCCTTTTGAGGTATGACACCTTGTGATACAATATTATAGAGATCCATACATTTGTACACACGTTATTGTCCTGAAAAAAAATGCTTGTTTTTTACCCCTTTTTGGTTCGTAATTCCTAAACAGTTAGGACAATAACCCCCAAAATCAATCCCAATCATTCATTTCTGGCATAGAACCTTGGTACAATTTCATAGAGATCCATACACTTATTCTCAAGTTATTGTCTGGAAACCAAATGTTTTCGGACGACGACGACAAAGTCATCATGGTCATAACATTTTACGACATCGTATTAAAATTATTTATTATTATCAACTATTTACTTCAAATCTTAAAGAATTATACTTTTCATTAATTTTGATATTCTGTTTAGGTCATGAGACATGAAATTTGCTCCCAGTCAACAAATTTCAACAACATACACAAAACACTTGATATGTCTGTCAATGTTTTACATAGGCCTTGCAACTTGATAATACACTGGCCTTTATCTATACTGAGTAAAAAATGTTTAGCAACATATATATTCTAATTCAAAAACTTTGCAATAAAAATTTACAAAGTTGGGAAAACAAATTTTTAATTATTTTTTCGTTTTTCTTGATTAAGAATTGCATTTTATGGTTTATTATTGCTATGTTTAGAAGAATATTTTATTTTTCAAATGTGATATTAAAAAAGTATGTTGCTAATCTTTTTTTTAACTCAGTATATATCATACACATTCTTGTCCTCTTGGTATTCTCTCCAATTATTTTGTACAATAGAGGATAAAATGTGCAGCTCATTAAATTCTATCTATAAATCTTTTATTTTTAGCTTGACAACAATTTTTTGGTAAGAATGAATATATCCAGTATTGTATTCATATTAGGCCCTAAATTTAGTGCACATTTCAAAGTTATCATACATGATCTTAAATTTGACCCAACATAACTAGGGTAAAAGGTAATCACAAAATAAAAACAAATTTCACATTTGATGAGTTATCAAGGCATAAATGTACATTACATTCATAAAATTTCTTGCTTTTCCTTGTTTCCTATCAACTTTTGAGAACATTTTTGAATGAAAAAGTATAATAACAATTTTATATTTGGTTGGAGTGTATGAATACTTATAACAACTTAGCAACATGACGGATGTCACATGTGGAGCAGGATCTGCTTACTCTTCCAGAGCACCTGAGATCACCCCTGGTTTGTATGGGGTTCATGTTGCTCAGTCTTTAGTTTTTAGTGGACTTCATGGGTACAGACTACACACAAATTGAAATGTTAAATGATATTCTCTTCAATCCATGGAAATTGGTACCCTCCAATATAAATGAATGCACAGTAACCTTGAAATGTTCTATTCATGTACCAAATTTCAAGAATTGACAACAGACAATGGTATATTGTTAAAGGTTATCTATTATAAGCTTCCGTGCAGACAAAAACAACCATCTTGTTAGAAGTTAGCTATAGGACTACAAGCTCAATTCTATAAGATATTTTTACATTTATTTTCCGCAAACTGTAAAAATATGAGTAATTAGATGGCAAAACAATAACCTTCCAAGATCTTTTTTTTTAATACACAGCTCTTGCAAAACAATTCTATGTCCACAAATAAAGAATGTAAACAAATTTTGTGAACATTTACAAAACTTGTTTTCGTGTTAAGTATTGACAATTGTATATTCTTAAAGGTTAAGTCTTAAAGGTTAAGGCCATATTAGTTAATTTCCGGGGATGTCTACCATGGTCAATTAACAGTCTAAATATATTTATTTTTATATAGGGCATTTATTTCTGGAAGGAGAAAGTTAAATATGGAAACAAGCTGTGACAAAAATAAATAATTAACAACTATGAGAAAATTTGAAAGTTGAACAAACTCAATTCCTACAACTCCTATAGGACATGCCAAAATGTGAAACAATTGTTAACTAGAAAACAATAAAACAAATGTTACAGATTTATTATTGTTCAGAGTGTTTCAATGTTCTTAGATTTCATAGGTATATATAAAGCTCAATGAAGAATACATTTTTTAAGGGGTTTTATGCAGACGTACTTTGACCTATAATGGTTTACTTTTATAAATTTTGACTTGGATGGAGAGTTGTCTTATTGGCACTCATACCACATCTTCTTATATCTATTTAGCAAATCCAGTAAATATCCACAAAGATATAATTTTTCCTCAATCTACGAAAATTAATGAATCCACAGTATGAGAAACAGCAAGCAACAATATCACTGAATTACAGGCTCAAGATAGTAGAAAAAACAGCCTCATAGAGCTATCATTATTTACACAATAACTGCTATCTTTTCCTTCCCTATATTTCTGTATTTATATAGCAGGAAACATTAGAAACATATTAATGTGTCATAAAATTTAGTTTAAAGCTTAACTTTTCAATGCATATATTTATTTTTTTACACCAGTCATTTTGCTTACAATCAAGGTCAAATTAATTTTCTAAAAAACTATTTCAAATGTGTGTAGTGGCTACAGACAATTTATACAACATATATATAATATGTTTATTATTGAATACCAAATTGTTTATCACTTGAAATGAAAAATAAATACAACTGAAAGAAATGTGTGAAATAAAATAATAAAACTTTATTAATTATTGTCACTCTATCTTAAAATATGTTACACATTTCTGTTAACATGGTTAACAAACTATCTCAAATCAGATTAATCTAAGCTCTAGTTGGCAAAACCTTTCGGAATTTTGGGTTCTCAATACTCTTCAACTTCTTACTTTATTTGGTCTTTTAAATTTTTTTGAGTCTTTTGTAGACGAAACATACTTCTTGCGTACAAAATTTTAAGCCTGGTATCTATGATGAGTCTACTTATAAATTCCAATCATTTTAAATGTAGATCTCTATATATATATTCATAAAACAAGAATATGTGTTCAAAATTAATAAGACAAAATACACCACTCACACTATCATATTGCCATGTTCAGTGAATTGTGAAATCTGGGTCAGAACCCTAATTTATAGCCATATGTATCAAAAAATTATTTTGAATAGTATATGGATGGCTTCAAGTCTAAAAACTGATGATAATTTTCAATAAAAACTCAAAATAAAAAAACTATCTATCTTTCAATGATTTAAGTGGATTAGTGTTGAAAAGTTTATTAATTAGAAAAAACAACAAACATATAGTCAGTAAATTTTTGTTGATAAATAGGACAATCAATACCATATGCTAATATGTTATACAAATATACCAATATCTGCAACAAGTAACAAAACCAATCAAAATGATTACCTGTTGTATTTGACACTTCACTCCTGAAAGACCCCCTATCTGAGACCATTGTACAGGAGATAATTCAACCAGTCCAACTGTACCTTTCCTGATGGAAGGCATGACTTTTCTTACTGCTTTTTCAAAATGATTCATCTTTATTTTTCTTTCCTAAAGAAAGGAAATATTCCAAAAGTTGATTTGGTAGAAGCAATGAATTTACTTTTATATGAAAGACAAGAATAGACAATAAAGCTACAGGGACTTTACATAATGGAGAATTATTGTGTTTCAGTGTTTAACCACCAGGCAGAAATACTGTTGTGGCATACAGCATGATGGTTTTTAATGTATTACTTTTATAATGACACATTCTCATGCTCATTTTGTATTTGACAGCTGGTTTTGTACTTTAGGAGTGAATACACTGGTTTTATACTTTAGGAGTGAATACACTGGTTTTGTACTTTAGGAGTGAATACACAGGTTTTGTACTTTAGGAGTGAAAGACTTGTTTTATATCAATGATACACTGGTTTTGTATATAACTATTGTACTGACAACTGGTTTTGTATACGACTGTTGTAGTGTCAAGCTTGTTTTGTTTATGACTATTATAATGTCGACTGGTTTGGTATGTATGACTGCTGTAGCGATAATCTGGTTGTGTATACGACTGTTGTAGTGTCGAGCTGGTTTTGTATATGACTGCTGTAGCGATAATCTGGTTGTGTATACGACTGTTGTAGTGTCACACTGGTTTTGAATATGGCTGTAGTAGTGTGAAGCTGGTTTTGTAACTGGAAAGACACACTAGTTTTTTTATTGTGTGAAGGATTTACTAATTGGATTTGTACTTGTGATTGAATACATGCATACTAGTTTTATATTTATTATTATTATGGTTGATGAAGCGACACATTTTTCTATTTATTGCTGTAGAATTGGATCATTGTCATTTATTTTCAACTAATAATTTGTAAAACCAGCCTCTTTAAGTGTGAAGATATGGTAACTCCCCTCTATGCATTATGTTTTCTCTGTATATTAATACCTTGTTCCTTCCTATAATGTTTTTTTTCTCTGTATTTTAATACCTTGTTCCTTCTCAGAATGTTTTTTTCCCTGTGTTTAATACCTTGTTCCTTCACACAATGTTTTTTCCCTGTTTGTAATAACTTGTTCCTTCCTAGAATTTTTTTTCCCCCAGTGTTTAATACCTTGTTCCTTCCTAGAATGTTATTTTTCTCTGTATATTAATACCTTGTTCCTTCCTATAATGTTTTTTTTCTCTGTATTTTAATACCTTGTTCCTTCTCAGAATGTTTTTTCCCTGCGTTTAATACCTTGTTCCTATCTAGAATGTTTTGTCCCTGTGTGTAATAACTTGTTCCTTCCTAGAATATTTCCCCCCCTGTGTTTAAAACCTTGTTCCTTCCTAGAATGTTTTTTTCCTGTGTTTAATAACTTGTTCCTTCCTAGAATAATTTTTCCCCCCGTGTTTAATACCTTGTTCCTTCCTATAATGTTTTTTTCCTGTGTTTAATACCTTGTTCCTTCTCAGAATGTTTTTTTCCCCTTTGTTTCATACCTTGTTCCTTCCTAGAATGTTTTCCCCTGTGTTTAATAACTTGTTCCTTCCTAGAATTTTTTTCTCCCCTGTGTTTAATACCTTGTTCCTTCCTAGAATGTTTTTTTTCCTGTGTTTCATACCTTGTTCCTTCCTAGAATTTTTTTTTTCTCTGTAAATTAAAACTTGGTTCCTTCCTAGAATGTTTTTTTTTGTACATTAATACCAATGTTTTTTCCCGTGTTTAATACCTTGTTCCTTCTCAGAATGTTTTTTTCCCTATGTTAAATAACTTGTTCCTTCCTAGAATATTTGTTTTCCCTTTGTTTAATACCTTATTCCTTCCTAGAATGTTTTTTTCCTATGTTTAATAACTTATACCATCCTAGAATGTTTTTTCCCCTGTGTTTAATATCTTGTTCCTTCCTAGAATGTTTTTTCCCCTGTGTTTAATACCTTGTTCCTTCCTAGAAAGTTTGTTTGCCTGTGTTTAATACCTTGTTCCTTCTTAAAATGTTTTTTTCACTTTGTTTAATACCTTGTTCCTTCCTAGAATGTTTTTTTCCCTGTGTTTAATTCCTTATTCCTTCCTAGAATTCTTTTTTTCCTGTGTTTAATACCTTGTTCCTTCTCAGAATGTTTTTTTCCCTGTGTTTAATACCTTGTTCCTTCTTAGAATGTTTTTTTCCCTATGTTTAATACCTTATTCCTTCCTAGAATGTTTTTTTTCCCTGTGTTTAATACCTTGTTCCTTCCTAGAAAGTTTGTTTGCCTGTGTTTAATACCTTGTTCCTTCTTAAAATGTTTTTTTCCCTGTGTTTAATACCTTGTTCCTTCTTAGAAAGTTTGTTTGCCTGTGTTAAATACCTTGTTCCTTCCTAGAATGTTTTTTTCCCTGTGTTTAATACCTTATTCCTTCCTAGAATTGTTTTTTTCCTGTGTTTAATACCTTGTTCCTTCTCAGAATGTTTTTTTCCCTGTGTTTAATACCTTGTTCCTTCTTAGAATGTTTTTTTCCCTATGTTTAATACCTTATTCCTTCCTAGAATGTTTTTTTTTCTCTGTGTTTAATACCTTGTTCCTTCCTAGAATGTTTTTTTTCTCTGTGTTTAATACCTTGTTCCTTCCTAGAATGTTTTTTTTCCCTGTGTTTAATACCGTGTTCCTTCCTAGAATATTTTTTCCTATGTTTAATAACTTATACCATCCTAGAATGTTTTTTCCCCTGTGTTTAATACCTTGTTCCTTCCTAGAATGTTTTTTTCCTGTGTTTAATACCTTGTTGCATCCCAGTAAGACAATTAACACTGCCTCTCTTGCTACTGAAACTAAGTCTGCCCCAACATAGCCATTGGTTATGAAGGCTAACCTCTCCAAATCAACATCCTCTGACAATGGTAATGAAGATGTAACTTTCTTCAGTATATCTAACCTTTGACTTTCATTTGGTACATTTATCATAATCTGAAAATATAAATTAAACAAAACTCTTTTCAATTTGGTGTACTCAATTTGTATTTGAAAATTTCTAAAATGTAACAACATTTCCATGTGAAAATGAATAAACAGTGGGTCATATTTTAAGCTTTACATCACTTATTGCAGATATATGTATAAAGGAAAATGAAATTTATCATTAATTTGATTATTTGGGTTATAGATAAAAGATGTCCTTCAAATAAATAACAAATAAGTCCCACCCTACTCAGCATGTAATCAATGGTTGTTTTTGGTTATATCTTGGTGTTGGCAGCTTATCTTTATTCATAACTTGTCTTGAATCTTTGTGATTTAGAGCTTAACATACATGACATATATGGTATAAACAATAGTATATTGTTGAAGAAAGTGCATTGACTTCAAGATGGTTCTTTTGGGATCTTTGAATTGCTGTTCTATTGATATATCACTAACATCTTTTAATCTTACAGTTGATACTTTTTTTTATTATAATTTATTTTTTTCTTCTTCGTGGATTGACAGGCATTTACATATATTTATCTATGGTGGCACATAATTAAGCAAGCAAGATAAATAAGCATAATCAGTAAACGTTATATTTGTGGGTGCCAATTTTCATGGATTATGGAAAAATTGTACCTGAATTCTTTTAAATAACTAATAAGAAAATTTTATGTGAATCTTTAAATGACATTCAGACACTTATAAAAGGTGTAGAACTGTTAATAAACATGACATTTTAACTTATACAAAGTATAAATCATTGATAAATAAGACATTAACACTTATACTAAATACTTATATATCTCCTATTTGTCTACTGGACATGTAACAGCCTAATAACATGCATACATTTTTATAGGTTACATAAAGACAGTCTTATGTATAATTATTATACAAGTCATGTTTATTTACTTGAAGATGTAATTAATGTTTACTTATATAAGTAATTTGTAAGATTTAAATTTTCTTTTCACGGTTTGAATAATCTCCCTTTAATCTTCTTCAAAAATTTACTTATACAACCCCTTAACTTCTCAAGTTTTGGGAGGTCATCAGGTATATATATGGTCTCCTTTTTCCATAATTTCATCATGTTCATGTAAAAATAATTTATGAGGAATGGAAGAAAAAAAGTAGTTCTTGTCAGCATAGTAAAGGTTAAATTTGGTCCCCAATTATCAATTCTATTTTTCAGATGAACAGTATTTCAAGTTGATGTATAAACATGTGAGAAAATGAAATAGAATGATTTGTTAGGCTGAGTTAATGCAATATATTTGTTAGTAATATGATTTTTTAGCTTTTTCTTGTGGAAGGATTGTGATCATTCATCTTACTTTTTACTTGATTTAGGATCATTTTTTAAATATCTTTTATTGAAATCTGGGAATTTGACATATTTTTTACAGGGTGTAGGGTACTACCTTTGGTAGAACCCTACAGGTAGACTAATATAAGACGTTTTTAAACTAGAGACAGAGAAACTGAAATGGGTCGAATTTTTGTGCGCAATGTTGTGAGAGTTACATCATAAACGGTGTGACGTCAACGTGGGTCATTTGCATAGCTAGGTCAGTAGTACCATTCATTGACAATGTGGCTGCATAGTGATGCATTTACTAAAATGAGTGCAAATAATCGATGTAATAAGATAAAATCGTTAGTGGATTACGTATTTAATTATACAGACATCATGGAAAATCTACAGAATTCGATATTTCATAAGGAACAACCATGGAACTAAGGAAAACGCGCGTGAAATTCCCCGATGTAATAAGTAGCAACGTCCGGGGATATGGGTTAGCAACACCCAGGGGCTATGGGTTTTGTAACGACGTGCGTTAACCAATCAAACTCCTAGAAATATACTAAGCCAGGGATAAGGTTTTTTATGTTCTTGAGTTGCTGTTTTATTAACTTATACCCCATATCTTCTTTATTCATACTCCTTTTCTTTTCATAAAGTTTGACATTTTTTTATAGTCTTATTGATCTTGGAAAATTCAACATGTTTATCAATCTTCATGCCTAAAATTCAAAAGTGCCAACTACAAAAAATGTATTTATCAATCTTAACAGTTTTTCACCTGGCATTAATGTCTGTTAATTGAATTTCACTTCAAACTTTACTATTAATTGTTTACAAAGAATATACATTTCATAATAAAAAACCAGTAACATTGTTTATTAACATGGTCGTAAACAAAAAAATATATTGACACAACTTTTTTTAAAATTTTGATAGAAAAATATTGTTTTGACCCAGACATGACTTGTTATGAATATAATAATGAATTAATTAAATGGATGAATCAGTGCTTAGTTTTTGAAGAGTACACTGCAGTGATTTTTTTATTGCATTTTGAGCAATTCTGCCCCTGCCAGATTTTCTCTATCTGTAACGGTTTTCAAGATAATAAACAATACATGCATTTTACCCCTATGTTCTATATTCATGATATTCTAGCCATGGCTGCATTGATTATTGGCAGACAGGATCATCAGATATATCTTTTCAACAAGATACCCCAAGGATGAATGTGGCCAATGTTGGTTCCAATCATGGCAATTGGCCACGTAGTTTCAGATGTGAAAATTTTTGTAAAGTGAAATGACAGCGGAAGGAGATGGCAGACAACAATAAAGGACGACCAAAGCCAAGTGATGACAATAGCTTATAGAGGCCCTTTGCAATAGGTGAGCTAAATAGGCAATTTGGGGATCAAGTAACAATTTAGAAATTGCCTTTTAAAAATTTTTTTGCTATAATCTTCATTTAATTTCCTTGTTTAAAATAAAATTAGTACATGTAGTTTTTTTTGGATACTAAATGATTTAAGGAAGCAAACTTTGCAGATTCTACCAAATTGTCATTAATTTTTAAGTGCAAGTCTATAGGCCTAGCTAATATCTCTGTTCTAACAGTCCCATTTATTTATCTCGTCCTGAACATGCATGAAATATTTGCCACTGGATGTTAAGCAACCAACAACCAATCCATTTATTTATCATTGATTTTCTTCACATCCAGAACTAGCAACCAAAAAACCATCAATCCTTATGCAATCAACAATCAATCTACAAGTCATGATTATACTCTAATTCATAACAAAAACTGTTCTAATTCATAACATCTCAATCTACAAAGTACAATACAACATGATAAACTTTGGTATGTTATTTGTGATATCTTCATTCTTAGTAAACATTACATATGCTTCTTAATGTGACATTATCCCTAAAAAGGTGTAAAACTATGAAGGCTGGTAAATTCAAGGAAGATTGGAAGGCTTATGAAATTTAGAAGGTCATTCCCTGTCAGGCTTATCACTATAAATAAATTGTCACACTTTTATATGAATTGTGGGATTAGTCATTTTACAGATTACATATACATGTGTGGGAACAATACAGAAGATTTTTTTTTATGTGTGACCCAATATTCAACTTATTGTTGAAACATAAATAAAAATAACAACTAAAACATGAATGGTGAAGCCGAGTTACACATACTGTACAATGGAGTTATAATGCAGATATAATCAGGTTATTGTTTTTTTTGTTTGAATTGTTCCATGTTTTGTCATGTCGAGCCTTTTATAGCTCCCTATACATGCTATAAGGTATGGATTTGCTCATTGTTGAATGCTATACAGCATTTGTACAGTGACCTATAGTTGCTTAAATCTAGGTCATTTAGACTCTTGTCATAGTTATCTAATAGGCAATAATACCACATTCCTTATTATATATTATACAGATTCTATCATTACATGTACCACTATAATGAATGTGGTACAGATTGATTTGCTTCAACATACCTCCTTATCAAACCTGCCTGGTCTCCTTAGTACATTATCTACAGAGACTGGACGGTTAGTAGCTCCTATCACCATAATATTCTCATTACTGGTAATCCTGTCAAAGAAGTCCACCAGTAGTTTGGTTAAGTTTATTTCCTTTTGACCATCCAAATGTCTCCTGTCAGGACACAAGGTATCAACTTCATCTAAAAACAAAATAGTCCGACCTTCCTCACTAAAGGTCAGAGCCTTGTCTAATATTTTGCTTAAGTTTTCTTCTGTTTCTCCTGGTCTGGCACCGAAAACTTCTGGACTGTTAACTGTTATAATATAAGCATTACATTCACATCCAACATGTTTAACTAAAGAAGTTTTTCCTGTCCCTGGAGGACCACGTAACAATATACCCTTTGGTAATACTTTCTTAAACTCACCAGATATCAGTGATCTGCCTTGAAATGGAAGAGATAAAATATTACATAGTTCCCGAGCTTCTTTTTCCAATCCTCCGATGTCTGGTGCTTTTAAATTCTGTAGAAATCTCTCTTTACTAACAATACAATCTACTAATATCTCAGTTTGCTGATTGATTATAAAACCATCATAGTTGTCATCTTCACATGAATTAATCAAAATATAATAAATTCCATATATTTTTCCTAATTGTGTTCGACCTACGGAAACAGTAAAATCTTTAGCCACACAGTATTTATAAAGTAAATTTTTGCACATATTTTCAACCTTATTTGGATGAATTTTGAGGTCATGTTTTAATAATTTAATTATCTGATGGTCTTCTACAATTAATGTTAACTTGAGACTTTTTGAGTTTGTAGAATTCATATGTATAGCATCTCCATAATTATTTACACTACTAGAAGCATGTGCACTTTTGTTTTTAAACACAGAGTTAGAGAAACAGAGACAATTTGCACTGATCTGATCATTTGGCCAAACCTGACAGATAAATTCTGAATCTGAAGTAGAGATCATAAAATAGGAAGTCAGTTCCCCGTTCAGTTGAGACAGTGTAGCAGGATGGATCCAACATTTCTGGGACTGGTCCTCACGAACACATACATGCATTATATCAATGATGGAACTTGATTGTTTATCAGGTCAAAGGTCTCTTCTGCTAAGGGAACACACTTTATTTTCCAATTCACTTTATCATGCGTCAATCATACCTCTGTAAATATATGTTATAATAAAAAGCTTAAAATATTACGTTGTGTTTTATTTAATCATACATTTTTTGTACATCAGGAAATAAAAGTCTGACATTTTTCTGCAGTAAGACTTTAACTGTTTAAAACATCCACAAAAAAATCTAGTAAGATAATTAGTCATCTTCTTATTTGTATTAAAAATATTGAAAATTTGATAAAATAGTTCTTCCAAGTTAAATGGTTTAAAAAAAATTTGGGTCGTATTTATTAAAATTTTTCTGTTTTAATAAACTGGAAACATAGGTTACTTGATTTTCAATGTGTTTTTTTTTTGTATAAACAGCCATTATACTGAAAATGAGCTACTGTGAACTTTTTAAAGAAACAGTTGACAGAATAGTTTTTGGTTATTGGTGACAGTAATGAAAAAAATGGATTGTAACAATTAAAACGTTAATATATTTGCCTTTTCTGGACTGTAAAAAATTCACAGATTTGTTTCTTTTAAAATGTTATACATCATTGTACATTGTATTTAAAAATTAAAATACAATAATAGATTTCATCTACAAACTATGGTTTGGAAAAATCTGATGCTATGTTTATTTATTTTTAACAACTGTGACCTTGACCTTTCAACTATGACCCACTCATCTTTATGTTCAATAAATACTTTTCTATTCATATAATTTTGTTCAAATATGTAAAACAACTATATGGAGCAATGACATGAGACAGTACAAAGTATCCTGATGCTACATTGAACACACAAAAAAGACATAATTTGCAAATGTAAAATTTTGCAGGTAGCAATAAAAAATTATATTTATATTGTTACCTGCAATTCCCGTATGAAATCAGGTCCCTGTCCGGAAATACATTTGGTCAACTAGTCTCAGAAGTAGCAATAGTCAATATTTCTTATTATTACTTTTTGCGGATAATCGTAGCTAGAGCTTAATTGAAAACCTCAAAATTGTGCAGCTGTTTTTCTTGTCCTTGTTGTGTAACCCCAGTACTATTTGTATGCAAGTGATTATTCTGAATTGACTAACCTGTAATGCCAGCAGATCTAAGTGAGGTGTAGTAAAACATTTATTTATCTTTTTTACTCTGGCTTTTTATATTTTTGTTTGCATACCTTTTAATTTTGTTGTAAATGCTTAAAATTCTTTTATATAGTGCTTAATAGCTACTGCATGAATGTCAGTTTGTATGCATTTTTTGTTTGCTTTTATATGCTTTGATTTGCTTATTATTTGCTATAAATTGCTGTGTGTGTGTGTGCTACCATACTAGTATTTATGCTACATGTACAAATGTATGCATGATCTGCTTTCTGTTTTAAGTGTTTTATATCTTGTGTTTATCATACATATGTATGTCGGTAAAAAGCTCTACACAGCTAATGTTGTGTTGTTATATGTATACCCAACTTCAAACAAATCTGTTATGCTTTAATACTACCAAATACCCCAAATTTTCTATCTAATCAGACTACAGACAGTCACCTTTTCAGCAAAAGATATTATGGTCAGATCATATGTTTTCGTACGTCATATGAATTTGTACTATGTATGCTTTTTCAATGGAAATTGTGACGTCACAATGCATTCTTAATAGTATGAAAACCCATGAGAGGAGGATATGTAGGATTAAATATTGTCCGCCATGAAATTATGTCCACTGGACACTTTTTCACAGTAAATTGTGTCCACGGACATGATGTTATTATGAAATATCATCAGGACTATATTTACCTATGAAATCGTGTCCACAGATGGGAAAAAGTGTCCTTCAAAGAAAGGACAATATTTCATATGAAAAAGTATCCTTCATAGAAAGGACGGTATTTCACGCGAAAAAGTGTCCACTCTCAATACCTACAAAATGTATGTATACATAGCTTCAGTTCTTTATCTAAATTGAAGTTTTAAAACTAGCATGGGGGTTTTGTCTCTATTAAAACATGGCATGTAAACTGGATTATTGAATTCATATAAAATGTGATCATGTGTAATTTAACAAAAATTATACAATAAAACAATATTCTCTATTTTGTTTTTTTTATCAATAATCATTGATAGCTGTACAGTACAGTTCATCATTTTTTATTTTATAGTTAGATACTTTTCTCCTGATAGTTCTTTTCTCATTGTCAGTTGAGGCTGGTGGATACTTTTTGTCGACATCTTTATAGCTAAGATAATTGAAAATGCTTTTGAATTCAACACCTTTCAATTTTTGTTTATATCAAATTATAACTGGTTCTTAATTGGTTTGTTTTTGTAATAGAAAATGAAATATATCTAAAACATTTCAGTGACTTTTTTATTATCTCCCTTTAAATGCGATTTTTTTTTTTAACTGTGAAAAAGTGTCCTATTATTGAAAATCAACCTTTACTGGACAGAATTTAATAGTTTTTATCATGAATTATGTCTGATTGAATGGACACTTTTTCACAGCATCTGACACATTTAAATATACCTTTTCTGTGAAAAAGTGTCCAGGTGGACACTATTTCACAGGACACTTTTATGGATCACAGATACATGTAGGTCTTATAACAAGCTTTGTAAACTTTAACTTGTGCAATTAACCACGGATGCACAGGTACCTACATTCGGGAAACAATGACACAATAGACGCCAATTTGTCATTGCAACTTTTCTGACAGTAAGCTCTACAGTACGGGTAGAGACTTATTATTATGGATGTCTTAATCCGTCTAGATGTCAGACTGGCCGGACAGTTGTCTCAGTGTAATTAACACCTGCTGTGATATTAACCTGTACAATATCCGAGTGGAAGGTCGTAAATCAATCTGAACCAGGTTGATTAGAATTAAATTTTACCTGTATAGATATTTTAGTATTTATGGAGGATAGATAATAAATGTAAAATATTGTTTTGTATTCAAAGAAAAAATTACAATAAAAATAAAAATGTAATATCATGAATATGGGATCAACTTTTTTTTAACTTGAAAATGAAAGAAAGACGATTTTTAACAATGTACGTACTGTAAAAATGTGTTGCCAATTATAATAATTGTGTTTGTGCCAATAAACTATTTGTATTTGTATTTGTAAACCGTAAATATTTCATTTTATTCAAAATTATAACAACCAGGACTGTTTTCAATCGAAGTTTTAATCAAAATGTTGAGACATCAATCCCGTAAATTATACGAGTTTTCGTTGATGGTTACAATATTTCCCCTTTTTAACGTCCTGTTCCTTAAAGTTATTAATAGAAACACAATTTTAAGTATAAGGCCAACATATCATATTTATAAAGTATATAAACAAATTGAATATAGGCATTGTGAATAAACTGCTCCTACATAAACTCAATCACTATGGAATCAGGAGAAAGACCAACAGCTGGATAGAAGCGTTCCTGACAAATAGAACCCAAGTAGTAGTAGTTGAGGGTGAACAGTCAGACAGAGCAAAGGTAGAATCTGGAGTTCCACAAGGTTCAGTCCTAGGCCCTAGTCTATTTTTGTTTTACATAAATGACCTAGCGAATGACCTAAAATCAACAGTTCGTCTCTTTGCTGATGACACAGTAGTCTACTTAACCATCGCCTCAGATACTGATTGCCGACACCTACAGTCAGACCTTGATAAACTGGCACTATGGGAGGAAAAGTGGAAGATGGAGTTTCACCCAGAAAAGTGTAGCGTACTGACTGTCTCCAGAAAGAAAAAGCCAATCAAATGGGACTATGTATTACATGATCATGTACTAAAACATGAAACATCAATTAAGTATCTGGGCTGCACCATCACAAGCGAACTAGACTGGGGAGAACACATCAACAACATTACCAGCAAAGCCAGCAGAAGCCTTGGTTTCCTCCACAGAAATCTACACATCGGCTCTAAAAGCATCAAAGAGCAAGCTTACAAAACCCTAGTAAGGCCCCAACTAGAATATGCCACAACAGTATGGGACCCATATCATCAGAAACATATTGACCAAATTGAAAAAGTTCAAAGGAGGGCTGCGCGATACGTCACCAAGCGCCACAGAAACAGATCAAGTGTCACGGACATGATTAATGAATTGGGTTGGAAAAGTCTCCAAGAACGACGCAGAGAGGCCAGGCTCGCAATGATGTACAAGATCGTCAACGACAAAGTAGCCATCAACAAAGACATGTACCTCCAGAGACCAACCAGAGTATCCAGACATACACAACAGCATGGATACATGGTACAAACAGCAACCAAAGACTGCAGGAAATGGTCCTTCTTTGTGAACACCACCAAAGACTGGAACAAGCTTCCCACGGAGATCGCCACAGCACAGTCATTTGAGACATTCAAATCTCAAATGACCAACCTTACAAAATAAGTTGAACATTTGTTTTTATCCTGTTTTTAACCATGCAGAACCAATTTGCCAGTATATTCAGAAAGTTGAATGTGGGCAGTATATGGAAGAAGAAGAAGAAGAACTGTTCTTTTCCTTACGATACACGTCCCCATCGGAGCCTCTACGTCTATTCATACCTGTCAATCATTTCTCGCAAGTAAAACAATTTGGTCAGCCAGATCATCCGTGCTTTCTATTTTGACATATATTTTCCGTTAATCTCTTTGAAACAATTGTTTTTTTACAATATTTATAACGCAGTGATCATCTTTCGATTCCTAGTTTTTATATAAAAAAAACTTTTCATATGCACGTCAATATTCTATGATCCAGCATTATTTTAAATTTTGTTTGTTAATAAATTTACATATAATGGAAATAACAGATTTGTTGACACTCGTTGTATTATAACAAAGATATTGCCTTTCTATTTCCATGTTTGAAATTTTAATGAAAATCGTGTTTTTTATAAACATATTTTACGATTGTGTCAATCAATACATGAAGATCAAAGTTTTACACTATTCACGATCAGCCGTCTTTACTTTTGCGTCGTATTTCTAGCCATTCTCTAAAGCTCGTGCAGTCAGTAAGATTTTGTAAATCGATGTCGGCAGTTTAAATTGTATAATTCCCGAACTTTAAAGGAGGTGTCCGAAAATTATTTAAATAGGAATCTGGGTGTTGACTAACATGACTAATAAATATAATAAATAAAATAGTTAAAGTAGACTAAAGCTTGTTTTGTTTATAATTACAAGGATTAAATTTTTTATTCTGGTAAATCAATTATTAATGGATCTCGATCATGAGCCTCAAAACTAACGCACAATACTGCCAATCATTACGTATCAAATTAAATCATGAATGGATTTTCCCACGGTCGGTCAGTAAGGTCACCTGTGTTAACTGTTACGATATTTCCCGCCATATGAAAATCACGTGCATTTGACAAAATTAATCCCAGCTATTTTTAGCATTCAACATTGTATTGTGAGTGAAGTCAAGTTCAAAGTTCAACCAAATGCTGTTGATCACTGATAAGTGTATCATGGAATTGTCTTTTCACGGCAAATATTTTTTTAGATTGGTGTCAAAAATACAACATACAAGTTAACATGCATTGTGCGTAAATTAATATTATGCAATTAAGAGTCAATGCAGCACCATAAAATTATTTAAATAGGAGAAATTGCATTTCCTTAAGACTACAAATCATAGTAAATGTTTAATTAACTGGTCATCAAACGATTGAATGCTTCTAGTTTTAATGTCCATTCATGTCAGTGGCAATTATTTCATGCATATTTAACAAACACAGAAATATAAAAAAAAACCTAATCCCCGAGAAATATCGTTATCTTCTTCTAGTGTTATTATTTGCGTACTACTTTAGTGATATATCACCAACTTTCGGACAATATTTGTTTACAGTAAAAAGTAAATTCACAATTATAAAGAATCACCTAACTACTAGTATACAAGTATTGCTCACTGTAATTATTTTTATTTCAGAACTGACCCAACGCAGACTGAAAATTAAATACAAATGTAGTGTTGTCAAACTAAAACGTATGCAGCAGCACTTTGCACATCATTCTGCTAATCAATGGGTTTACGTGGAAAATAAATCAGTAAAACAAAAATAACCTTCCAGAAATTAAAAAGAAAATATTTTAAAAACTGTATGCCAACAAATACGAAAAAGATACATAACAAAAAAAAAAACAGGGAACATAGAAAATAATATTTTGAGGAATATAAACAGCATTTGAAATACAAAAAGCCATAATTAAAAAAAATAGGCTTTTTTTATTAAAACAAAGTTGTTCCAGTACTTCACCTATAAAAATATTTTATGTCAAATACGATGTAGAACTAATCAATAAAGTGACTGAGAGGTTTAAATCACAGGTAACCTGATTCTGAAATCAGTGAAGCGTAATAATCTTGTAGCACGGACTGAGATGAAAGGACAATTATATTACGACCAAGTTCACACCTGGATCTGTTGATTAATGACCATACTACCTACCATAAAAAAGTCGGATTATTCATTTCCGACATGTCCCAGTCCGTTATTTATAGTAATAAGTCTCTACCCGTACTGTATACACAGGCACTTGTCTCAGAAAAAAATTTCCTATATACCTTAAAATAACACAAGTTACTTAACTCACATTTTTGAAAAATGTCACCCGGTCGCGAAATTCCGTTATTTGCCGATTTCTCGGTTGTCAACCCCACTAAAACTTATGCCGTAACTGTAAATTGATTTATCTACACAATGGTGTATAACACGCCTACCTTTGTAGGAATCATCGGTAGCAGGCCTACCCAAGTCTGTCAACCGTAATTATTTCGTCTACCTACACTCGATTGGAAACATAAGACTCGCAGTAAATGATTAATTATAAAAAATATTTAAAAAAAAACTGTTAGTTTTTGTCTGAATAGAACTTATCATCCAGTTAGTAAAACTGTATAAGATTCCGTGAAAAAAATCTAACAAGTGTTATTTGAGGTATGTCTAATAAGTTACGACTTTCTATTTTTAGACACAAATTTTCCCATTCCATCATTGTCATTCAGACTCTCTATGAACTTTACATATGAGATGAGATAAGATCAGATAACTCCGAAAAACATTTATTTTAGCAATAGACCTTCCCATAAAAGTTGACCAATCGGAAACCGAGATATATAAAGAGAGTGGGAAGATACATTTTACTGCGAGTCTTATGTTTCCAATCGAGTGTACAAAATGTAGGTAGACGAAATAATTACGGTTGACATACTTGGGTAGGCTTGCTACAGATGATTCCTATAACAAAGGTAGGCGTGTACTAACCATTGTGTAGATAAATGAATTTAGATTTACGGCATAACAAGTTTTAGTGGGGTTGACAACCGAGAATTCGGCAAATAACGGAATTTCGCGACCGGGTGACATTTTCCAAAATTGTGAGTTAAGTACCTTGTGTTATATTAAGGTATATAGGAAATTTGTTTCTGAGACAAGTGCCTGTGGCTCTATAGTAATAGAACAGTTATTACCTATCCAATTACAAGCTTTTTAGAAAGCTACTAATTTCTTTTTTTTATGAAAAAATCATAGCACATGTACATATCTTTTCCCCCAATGTGCACGTCAAAAGGGAAGGTAACAAGTGAAATATTAACTGTTATCATATATGATTACTGTTTTACAAAAAATATTATCTTGGCTACATTACAATTTTTTGTTGTTCATGGGCGCAGACATGACAGTTCGAAACAGAGGTCTACGGTGTCGATACATATTTACTTCAAGCGAAAAGTTAGATCCCCTGCAAATAATCTATATATATATATATATATCTTTTTTTATTTCTGTATCAATTATATCATTTTCTACAAATTAATTATTTTTGAATAGGAGTTCTTCATGAAATAATTTTCTAGTGAATAATCCAATAAGATGCTTGATTTTTTTCTCTCAAAAGTAGGATTTATTCATATGACACCGGATTATTTGTAAACAATGTCGGTGCTCCGGCTTATCGCACCGAATTTGAAATTTTTTACACAAAGTTTGATAAAACCTCCAGACATTCTCTGTAAAGCAGGCTATGCTGCAGGAAAACTCAAAGGTGAATTAAGATAATTTACTCATTTTCGTCCCTACTTTCTTTCTTGAGAGCCCCGTCCCCATTATCATCGAAAGGATAGGATTCTCCTACGAAAAATTATGTTGAAGGTTAAATTATGTTTATCCTACAATTACTTTCACTTTGGCCTCGTCACTACTTTCACTTGAGCTAATAATATGTCACTTGTTTGTTTATATTTGTCATTTCATATTTCTTTTTTATCGTATGGACTTTTATCATGTTTATTTTATATTTATTTATTTTTCACACAGAAAAAAATTGATGAATAAAAGTCCAAATGATTTAAAGGTACAAATGTAGTATGAAAGGGCAAAATTAGAGAACGATTATTTGGTCTATACTTTCACTTTCAGCAATATTTTTTCCCACATGATAAAAATGTTACTTTTTCAGTCAGGGCAGAGACATATATGTATATATGTCTCTGGTCAGGGGTACTACTTATACAAGTAATCTTTATTTACTTGAAGAAGTAAATAAAATAAACTTATATAAGTTAATTATAATGTTTGAATAATCTCCCCTTAATTTTCTAAAAAATTTACTTGTATAAGTAGATTTATTTTACAATCCCACAAAAATTCTCAAGTTTTGAGATGTAAAAACATGCCTTTAATTTTTCTCAGGTTAGCTCATAATTTTTTATTAGAGTTCAATGTTTCATCTCATTAATTCAACAAAGAAACTGATTGCGCAAAGATCTTAAGTATTTGCGCAAGGCCTTCAAAAATTGCCCCTTAGGGGCTTGTAAATGAGCAGTGTTCTGAAGATAACAGACAAATGAGATTTTCATTGTCCATGAAATTACACTTAAATGATTAGTAAAGACATCTGCAAAGGACAGACAATCAAAAATTCTATTAGAGCAAAGAAGTCCTAAGAATTCAAGAAAAGAAGATAGGATGACTTTTTTACTTGTATAAGTAAAAAAAATCTGAATGTCTAAGGGACATAACTAAGCCCAATTTTTTTTTACCTATACAAGTAATTAAAATACACTTGTATAAGTATCCTACAAATTTACTTATATAAGTATATTAATATTTACTTCTTCAAGTAAATAAAAATTACTTGTACAAGTAGTACCCCTGACTGTTTTTAAGACCACTTAAAATCACAGGCACTTGTTTCTATCCATGGGAAGATCCACTATCTAATAGACTATTAGGCTAAATATATATATGTTGATAGTGGATCTTCCCATGGATAGAAACAAGTGCCTATGCTTAAAATGTTCAAACATTGTAACGTCTAATTCAAACAATTTGGAACCAAAATGTTACAGTCGAGTCTCCCCAGTACCCCACCTGATATCTTTAATCAGGAAAAAAGAATCAAAGCCATTCTAGAGATAACACACTGTCAATTTAGCTCTTGAAAACCGAAAGTGTTTTTTTAAAAGACAAGTGTATCTACTAGCTATATTTAAAGCATCATTTAATTTACGTTATACTTTCAGGCCTTTTGTAATCTTTTGTGTGATTGGTTGTCAGAGGGAATTTTTTAAAGTTCAAAAAACACTAAACATGCTAATAAACTTCTATTTAAATATTGAAAATAAAAAAAAAATTAAGGGGGTGATGAAAAATGAGTGAACAATAATTTAAAAAATTGGAGTAAGGAATACACCTTAAGTTTTAACATTTGTTGTAGCACAAACCTTTTTTTGTTAGTCAAACACACTAACTCTGTTAATAGGACTCATTAGAAAGGTACTTCACTTGACTCATATATTTCATTGTGTGGTACTGTGAATTTTTAATGTTATTATATCAATATGTAGCCTAAATATATAAAAATAATGGAATCTGAAGCAAGATGATGTACATGTATCAAATATTTTTGCTTAATACATGTATGTTTTCAAGACAAAACAGTTAACTCAAACACACCTGAACGTAAAAAGGTATACCCAACTTTGTCTTTTCAATAAAATAATTGTCCATTTTAAAGATTTTCCCTCCCATAACCATGATAACAGTTACCGGGGGCAGTAGACAGTACTATAGTGCTCCCTTCCCATTTTTTGTCCCAGGGGCATGATAAAATGTTCCATCTTGTACATGTTATTTATAATTGATTAGACTATTCAGATGTAAGACTTGCAAGTTAGACTAGTGACTTTGGGATGTTAGAATATTGGGCAGACCCTCTGCCTTTCATCATAAACCTTAAAAGGTGATGTCATTTTGGTTTACATTTTGTAAAAGCAGCCTGAATTGAAGTTAAACTTTTTTTCAATATACATGTACATGTCGTGAGTAACAGACCTTTCATCGAATTTTACATGATTACTATCATGACTATAGGTTTCTTATTTTGAGGGGACAATCATCTTTGCTAGCCTAGGGTTGCAATCCGGCCCCCTCCTCTTCACCCTTAGCAGATATAGTCAGAATTTCAGATCCACAAGGTAATGATTTTCATTGGTTGCAGTTGTAACTGGCTGCATCCAATCAAAAAGTGCCTTTTAGATGAACATGTGCAAATCTGCTCCAGGAGGCACCCATCATATTGCTCATGTAAGTACAAACCAGATGATAGGTCTAAATTCAGTAGGTTATATCATGTATGTATATTCAAGGAAAAGAGGACAGCAATGTGGTTATGACAATTGAAACATATCTGTTGTCATCTGTGAAATAAATATTCCATAATGATCATCCAACTTGTCATGCTTGTGATGGTATCTGAAAATTTTTCAAAGGGATGACTTCAACTTCACAACTTGGAACTCTTGGTTTAATAATAGCTTCCTTGTAAGCAGTAACCATCTATGAAGGAATTCATGATACTAACTAAATGCAATCTCTGGAATATAGTACCAACTGGGAGATAAATTCCCCATTTGCAGGCGCTGCTGGAATGTTGCTACTTAGAAATGTAGGGTTCAGAATTTGGAAGCTGGAATCATCTTCTTTTGTCGTAAAGTTTTGTTCTCAACCTTCCCTCATTGCCAATTTCTAGATGAAGTCAAGATATGAGGCAGACTCAACTGTATCTGTTGCATCCATTATTTCAACAATGATATAGCTGCGTTCAACATTGTCACCAAACTTTGAGTTATTCAATGAGATGACACCATCTATAGCAGAATGTGAAGTCAAAGGATAATGCTATAGCTGCTTTTTATTCTTCCTTAGAATCTTGTGTGATTGTGTAAGAATAATTGATCTAAAACAATTATGTCAAGACACTGTTACTTTTATGTGACCCTTTGTTTTTATTGTTAATAAGTTGACTGTTCCATCAGATAATTTGCCTGATCTTTTATCATTAAACTATTTGTTAATATTTGTCTTTGTTCATTTCAGGAAAGATGATGTCAGCAACACAGAAGAAAACACTTTTAGAAGTTGAAACTGATCCTTATAAATTATGTAACTTTGTTTGTGGGGCTAATTATTTTAAAGAAGGAGAAGATCCCCCTATTAAACCAGACAGTGAATATCCAGAATGGTTGTTTTCATTGCATATAGATCGACAGCCACTAGATCTAAGTGAATTAAGTAAAGATGACATGTATTACTGGAGACGATTAAGAAGAATAAATATGAGAAGGAAAAATAAAGAAATAAAATATGCAGGACAGAGAAGACCTAAACGAATCTGGTGAAAAAAATTGATATTGAATGTTACATCTGAATAAAATTATAAAGGATTTTAGCATTTATTTCATTATGTTCATGCAAACACTTACCAAATGGACTTTTATTCAAAATATACATCTACTGGTCACCATACATGTATATGTACAGGACACATTTGTAAGAATTCAAGAAAACCTTACCTAACACATTGTCATAATACAAAATATACTGCTAGATGTCATACAGTAAAATTGAGAATGGAAATAGGGAATGTGTCAAAGAGACAACAACCCGACCAAAGAGTGTATAAAGAATGAACAAAATATTTAACTAATCAGGTAAATTTGAAAAACCTCTCTTCCTTTAAAGTTAAGTCTGTTCCAATCATCTCTCATACCTATACCACACCTATTGAGACTAAATTTTTTACAACAAACACATGTTGCTCCCAATGCTGCCTTGCAGGATCTCAATTTTTATGACTTCAAGTCTTGAACAACAGCATTTTTGTCGAGTTGGTAAATTGAATTATCTTCAAACAGTCGATATTCTCATGGGTACTAATTGTACACCATTTCTGGTCGATTTGTATTTATATACAGCAGAATTCATACAAATCCTTAAACACCAAGAGAAAAGGCACAATGTCATGTTCAGATATATTGATGATGTCCAGTCTCTCAATAACCAACATTTTAGTGATTGCTTACATCTTATAAAAGTTTATTATACATGTCTATAAAGCATTATCATGATTATATTATCATGATTATATCTCATTTTACATTAGAACATTGTATTTATTGTATTTTTGTTCATTGATATTAAAAAAAAGAAGGAGATGTGGATTGATTGCCATTTAGACAGCTATCCACCAAAGTTCAAATGAATTGGATGTAAGCAATTATAGGCAACCGTTCGGCCTTCAACAATGAGACAAACCCATACCATATAGTCGGCTTTAAAAGGCCCCGACATGAAAAAATATGTAACAATTCAATTGAGAAAACTAACAGCCTTATTTATAACGGAACAATTTACGAAAAATAAAAATGAGAGACATGAACCAACGACAACCACTGAACCACAGGCTCCTGACTTTGGACAGGCACATAAAGAATGTGGTGGGGTTAAACATGTTTCTGAAAGCTCAACCCTCCCCTAACCTGGGACAGTGGTGTTACAGCACAACATAAGAACAAACTATAAAAATTATTTGAAAAAGGCTTAACAGTTTCTCTCTAAACCTGTATGTATTGTTTTAAGTATATACATATATATCCCATTGAACTTGACATTACTAATAAAAGCGCAACTACACATGCTAGAAGGTCTTCTTCATATCGAGATGATTTTCTTGAAAATGACACTAATGGACAACAGTTATTCAAACAAGGGTCTATGACAATTGTGACGATTTCAGCTTTCCCATTGTCAAGTTCACATTTCACACAAGTAAAAGAGAGCCGAAAGATACCAAAGGGACATTCAAACTCGTAAGTAAAAAAATAAATTGACAACGCTATGGCTAAAAAAGAAAAAGACCAACAGACAAGCAGACAAACAACAGTACACAAATCACAACATAGAAAACTAAAGAATGAGTAACACGAACCCCACTCAAACTCTGGGTTGATCTCTGGTGCTCCAGAAGGGTAAGCAGATCCTGCTCCACATGTGGCACCCGTCGTGTTGCTCATGCTAGTACAAACCCGGTGATGTCTAATTTTTGAGGAAAAGGGGATGGGATTGTAGTTACGACAGTTGGAACCTATACGTAATCATCTGTGAAACGGATATTCCATAACGGTCAGCCAACTCGTAATGGCGTCTGTAAAATTTACGAAGGGACGATTTCAACTTCACCACTTGGAACTCTTGGTTTAATAGCTACCTTGTGACCAGCAACCGTCTATCAAAGAAATCATGATAGGAAATACAAGCCCTGGAATATCGTATCAACTGGGAGATCTATACTCTGTATATCGGCGCTGCTGGAATGCTGCTACATATAGAAATGGAAAGTTCACAACTGGGAAGCTGGAATCATCCCTTTTGTCGTAAAGTTTTGTTTTCAATCGCCCCTCACTGTCAATTTCTAGATGTAAGTCAAGATATGAGACAGACATAACTGTATCTGTTGTATCTTTTATCTCAAGTTCGATGGGATAGATGCGTTAAACATAGTTACCAAATTTTGAATTATTTAGTGAGAGAACATCTATATAGCGGTAAGTAAAGTTAGAGGATACTGCTTACTTCTTTTCTTTCTTCCTAAGAAGTTCCTGTATGAAGCCAGCCTCATATGAATAAAGGAACAAATCGACAAAAGGAGAAGCACAATTGGTTCCCATAGGAATGCCGATAGTGTGTTGAAAAACACCCAAATGTAACAAATATATTGTCAATCAAGAAATTAAGGATTTTGATAATGTCAGTTTCAGAGACTTACTTTGAATCAGAGTGATTTTAGTACGATTTATCCCTATCCTAAGACAAGATGCTCGTATCTACGTACGTACGTTGGTCATTCCTTTTTTATAAAACAAATCAGGACTAACTCTTTCAGTTTGTCTTTAAGTTTGGAATGGGGAATACTTGTGTAAAGTGTACAAAAGTCATATGTTTTAATGCTATTGCAAGATGAAAGAGTCTTAGATTGTATGTACTCTTAAAGTTCTTTGGAATTTTTAAGTATCCACATCTGATTCACGCCACCTCTAGAATAGGTAGTTTCACAATAACTTTGAAGCCCGGCTTTGATTGCTGATAAAATTGATGTTGATAATTTAGAAAGAGGTTTCGTGGACCACTCGGAAGACCCATCAATATAACGTTGTTTGAAAGGAAACTTATGTAGTTTAGGTACCAATACAGTGATAAAAGATCTAGTTCTTCCTTTTTGGTTGAAATTCCAAAGAAACATAGAACAGACCTGTGATTATCCAGGATTTCCTCCTTGGTCTATAGTAACTTCGTTTCGGAATAGATCAGCTATATTTGATCTGTTGAATGATTGTAAGCTAAGGAGTACATATCTTTTTGAAATGTTTGATCTGATCTTGTCATCAGTTCTATGGTTCATTAATTAACCTTAAGTGTTCCGTGATTACATTATATTCTTAGTTTCTATAAGTTATAGGTTCAGTATTTGTGTTGTATTGAATTATCGTGAGATGTCTATGTCCATCTGACAAAGAATTCGCTGTTGTTTTAGTTTTGTAAATTTTTAACAGAACATGAAATTGATGAAATTGGGATGACTGTTTTAACTGAAAGTTTATAACATTCATGTCAATGAATTGTATATGAATACAGTTTGTATAACACAGTTACGCTTGTAAAATCATAATCATTATGTTGATTAATTCCAGTTTGTATACATGTAACACTGAAAAACGTGATTTCTTGTCCCGGCCACTTTAAAAAAAATGTGTTTGATCTACACAAGTAATTTTTTGTGCAGTTAATACATTGAATTAGATTTAACATTTGTAAGCAAAGAAACATACTATTTTTAGAGGGATTAATAAAATATTGATTCCTGAATGGTTCAAAATAACCAAAATGGCATGTCCCTAGACCTCCTGTTCAACATTCATACTCTAAAATATTGTAAAAAAAGGTAGAAATAAATGTTATATTTACTTAATATAAGTTCTTTAATTATTCAAAAGTATGTTTAGAGCCAACATATTTCATTAAACAGTTTTTGACAAAGGATTTTTAATTTTAGAAGGTGTGTCCCTTGACATTCCTGACAAAATGTCCACTACGAAATGAAGTCATTAAATTTTGCTAATAAACAGTTTTACAAAATCAATGTTTGCAAGAGATATAAACATTAGGGTCTTACAAAAGAAGTGATGCTTTTATAACGGCAGTTAAATTGTTGGCAAAAAAAAATTGAGCACACCAAAATGGACCAGATTGATATCGTATTTTTGTTAATGTCCACTACGAAACGGGTCAAATCTCCTTCAGTATCTGGTTTTAAAATTATGAAAAAAATATCAGTGTACAGCTTAGTACGTGCTTTGATGAATAGAATCATTCTTGTTACTATTGCAGTATAGAGATTGTGGGGAAAAAATAAAACATGTGAATATGTCCACTACGAAACGGTCCCCTACGAAACAAGTATGGAAGAAAAACGTTTCGTAGTGGACACTACCACTACCATGCAGTCGTTTTTTACTCTTTTTTCAATTATATTCGTGCAAAACAATTAACAAGGGTTAGTTTCATGTAATTTTCAGTATGTTTTTATCAACATAGAATAGGGTTGATGTCAACTACGAAACTTTTTGTCCACTACGAAACGGTTTTGTCAACTACGAAACTCATCAAAATGTCCACTACGTAACATGAGTTGTACCTTCATATGTGAAGTACTGTCTAATCTTTATCGATAAAAAATGGTTCTCCAATTCAGAAAAAAATGAGATCGTTCTAGTATATAAAGTAAAACAAACTGGAATGTCTATAGGAGACATTAAAATGCAATAAGATGTGCGTTTAGAAGCAGTTTCGTAGTGGACAAATGTCCCCTACGAAACAGTACATAAATTATGAAAATAATATCATTTTAAAGAGTATTTAAGATTGCACTTTTTATTTACAAACAGGTCTATAATAGAGGTATTCAAAATAACTCTTGAAATAAAATCTTAGACAAGTTGATTTTCCATTTTTTTTAGGTCTGAAATTCACACTTTTATTGAAAAACGCCCATATATGTATTTTAACAAATGAGCAGTGAAATTAAAATATCAGAATCTAAAAGAGGACAATACTTGCTAATTATAATGTTAATTTATATCAATCAAAGTGTCTACCTTTTGTAAATTTCCGCAGTATAGTTATAGATAATTCTTGATAATTTCAAGCAAAATTATCATTAAGGTAAAGGTAAGTGTTATTCGATTTATTTATAAAAAGGAATTTAGACAGATCTTTACTGAGTTTGACTATAAACTGTGATTCATAACAATACAGGAACACGCCTGATTTTAAATGAGCGCAATTGATGCCTATATGAATAATATAACATGTCGATACACGTTATCAT